GAGCTCCCTCAAATTTTAATATGAGCTGAGCTGAGCTAAGTCCAACTCACTCGAACTCGACAGGAGCACCAGCAGCCCCATTTATCCATCGATCAATCAAACTACACTAGTGCTCATGCTTGACAGCGTCACCATGAAGCGCGAGCAGGAAACCCCCAACGTCCGAAGGCTCTCATATGTAGCGAGATTGATCCTACCTGTTTCGCGGTGCTCGACCTCACATCGGCGGGTCCATCTTCATATCTTGCCGCACTGAAGGACTGTAGCCATGGGAGAGATGGGATCTGTAGAGAAGAGAAAAGACCAGGTGAGCGGGCAAGCCGATCGTGCGTGTTTCCTTTTCTTTTCCCATCCGCGGATGGTATGTGCATAGCCCAGATTTGCCACGGTCGGGTTTTTCTTCGATCTTTGTTTAGTTGTCGGTTTTGTGTGCGCGTATCATATGATGAGAATGAAAGCAGGGAGGTGGGATTTTTTTTATCAAAGGGCTTGCCTTTGCATAGACTTTATTGAATCGGAAATTTCGATTTCTGTTGTAATTTGGTAAGTAGTGAGACAAGAGATTTTTATTGTAATTTGGTCAGATTAGAAAATATATGTGACTTTTTTTGTATTTGGAAAGTTGTGATTGTGATTCAATAGTATGGATAATGATATGTAATAAATGGCGTAGTGCGTGGGATTACTGATTTGTCATTGAGGGATATCTGGAAAAAAAATTGGACGGTCATTGACAAAAACAAAATCTTCTATATGTCTTTTAGGAAGGTGATCTCCCATATAAGGTGTGATATTTGAATTCTCAATTATCTACTTACGTGATTGAATTTAATCGGCGCCGGTCAAAGCCAGCACAAAACAATGAATGAGAAGGGTCGGGGATATCAATTCGGTTTTAGTGGGAGGGAGAGAACAACAACATTGAGGGAGGTGTTGGGAGGTGAGGAAAAGCTAAACCAGTGAAGCGGGACTATCAACTCCCCTTTAATCATAGAGATTAAAGGAAACATTGAAGTAAACTAAAAAAAGTGAACGCATGATAGCAGTTTGTGCACCTCCTAGATGTTGAACGTTGTTAGTTTTTCCTATGAAAAACAAAACTTTGTTGGTGTATGCTTTGATGACATCTTCTCCAATGGTGGTCCTGTTGTTGTCAAGCGTTTCCTATCCAATGTCCATCTCCCCTTTATCGTGTTGTTTGACGGTGATCTCAATGAATTATTACTTGATCTTTATCTCGACCTCATTCCTATTCGTCAGAAAATTATTTTAGCACTTATCCTGGATATAACTTTCATTACCTAATATGTCCGTGATTTGAAATGAATAGGCACCTGCCAAAGCAAGCATGAAATAAATAAATTAGAAGGGTCGGTCAAATCAATCCGGGTTTTAATGGGAGGGACAAAAAACTAACGTGGAGGGGGGGGGGGTGCTGGGAGGTGAGAAAGAAGTAAACCGGTGAGGCGAGAGTATTAAATCACCTTTAATACATGAGATTAGAGGAAAAGATGAAGTGCCGTCATTTTTTTTTGAGAAAAAGTGAACGCAGGCTAGCTCTTTGCCTGCATCCTTGATGCTAAACGTTGTTAGTGTTTCCTGCGAAAAATAAAACTTCATTGGTGTATGCTCCGATGGTGGTCCTGTTGTCGTCACGCTTTTCCTATCCAATGCCCATTCACCCTTCGCCGTGTTCTTCGATGGTGATGTCAATGAATTATTTGCTGATCTTTATCTCAACCTCATTCCTACTCCTCGTAACTTTATTGTAGTACTTATCCTAGATATAACTTTAATTACCTAATATTTATGGAGTTGAATTGAATCAGCACCTGCAAAAGGAAGCAGGAAAAACAAACAAGGAGTGTCCGGCGAATCGATTCGGTTTTTTAGTGAGAGGGAGAGAAACCAGCGTGGATAGGAGTGGTGGGAGGTGAGGCGAAACTAAAAAGGTGATGCGAGTATACCAACTCCCCTTTAATAGCGAACATTGAAGGAAACACTGAAGTAAAAAAAAGTGAGCGCCGGATATATATAGCTGTTTGTGTACGTCCTCGATGCTGAATGTTAGTGTTTCCTGCAAAAAATAAAACTGTGTTGGTGTCTGCTTCGATGGTGATCCTGACATCCTGTTGTTGTCGCGCTTTTCCTATCAAATGTCCATCTCACATTCATCGCGTTCTTCGATGGTGATGTCAATCTATTATTATTTGCGGATCTTTATCTCCACCTCATTCCTAGTACGTATCCTGGATGTTCTTTTGGGCTTGTAAGTTTGTCCCCGTACCTTGTCATGATGATATCTTTGTGTTTGGACCTATTAACCAATCAGAACCACTACTTTTCAAGGCATCTTTTGTACTCGGTTTCTCAAATGATTGCAATTATTGGGGCACGAGCTTCACCAAAATGACTGGTTGTGCGCAGCAGATAATAGCCGATTTTATCGTACGAATTTTCGTTAGAAAAGATCACATACGTTTTCATATTGACAGAAAGGACCATATGCTCACCGTGTTGACAAAAAAGACCAGCTACGCTGTGGTGGCAAGGCTGGTAGCCGACACGTGGCACCTGCCGCCACATGCGAAGGCGGCAGGGCCTGCCGCCACAGCCCACGGCGGCAGCCTGGGCATAACAGGAAATCGATGGACGTTGGGGTTTGTAAGAATGGCGACGCCACGTGGGGCCTGCCGCCATACTCCATGGCGGCATGTCCTGTTGCTGCTGCGCGCGTCTCCACCATGTTCTTCCTTCAGTCATTTCCTCCAAAAAAAGTGCATGAATTCTATATTCTGCCTGCTTGCAACGTTCTTTCAGAGCATCTACAACAGGTGCCCAAAAAGAGCTCCGCGCACTAAAAATTTATTTTTTTGGGCGCCGAACAGCTCCAGCAGATGCTGTAGCGCTAAAAAAAATTGGGTGTGCGCTGAAAAATGCTATCGCGCACAGCATATTTTGGGTTCCGAATTGCGCGCGCTTCATAATTTGCATTGTGTGCTTTTTGGGCGCGTATTTTTAGGCGTTTGCTAAAACAATATTAGTCCCGATGCATTAAAAATGCTACAGAGGCGCCTTATAACTTTTATTGGACGTGAAATTTTTATGCGACCGTTGAAGATGCTCTCAATGTGTGGCAGTAGGCTAGCACTACAGACACGACATGCAATCTGACAACATAAACTATGGCCACGCGCTACACTGTTCGTAAAAACTCACCTACAAAACAGGCTCCTTGCTAGTAAGTGCTAAGGGAGCTGCTAAGCGTCTGACATGTTTCTGTTTCTCTCTCTCAAGCCAGCTGCAATAGTCAGGGCATGCACTGTTCCTTATGTGTTGATTACTGCCAAACAATACCCAAGCAGCAGCGAATAGTGCTGCCTCCACATGCTGTGGCGGCGGTTGCCACATCGCCCATTCCATTCCGTTTCAGCGTCTGATTCCGGTTATGCCAGGGCTGCCGCCGTGGGTTGTGGCGGCCCTGCCACCTCTGACTGTGGCGGTAGGTGCCACGTGTCAGCTGCCGGATGTGTCGCCATAGTGTAGCTGGATTTTTTTATCAATACGGTGAGTAGGTGGTCGTTTATGTCAATACGAAAACGTATGTAGTCTTTTCTGATAAAAAATCATTATCGTACGGGTCATTCCTGCTCCGCTCTAAAAAAAGGAAAACTTTGTTTTTGCCATTCTTATTTTTGCCAATTTTGCTTATGCCACTCTAGAATTTGACATCTCACTTTTGCCACTCTTTGCTTTAGACAATACATCACTTTTGCCATTCCATGGAAAAAATGATAATTTTTCATTTCACTTTTGCCACTCTTAGCTTTTGACAATGTATCACAATTGCCACTCTGAAAATTTTGCTTTTGTACGGAATGGCAAAAGTGATGTATTGTCAAAAGCTAAGAGTGGCAAAAGTGGGAAGTCAAATTCTAGAGTGGCATAAGTAAAATTGGCAAAAGCTAGAGTGGCAAAAACAAACTTTCCACTAAAAAAACACCCTGCGGTCAAAACATTGTTTAGAGAAAACTAATCACATAAATGAATTATTTTAGCTGTCGGAACTAGCATATTTAAGCCAGTGTGTCAGTGTGTGTAATTTTCTTGCTCTGCGCACAAGGCCCCGCAAAGAACAATTACACAAGAGAAATTTCTTGCTTTGTGCACTTAACTGTACGTTTCACTAAAAGAAGAATTGAATAGAACGAATGGCAGAGTGCCAAATAGCTGCTGAAACTATTAGAAATTATGAATTTAGGGTTGTTTAATTCTGCCAAGGATGGCCCCGCCAAAACACGGGCCAGCCAAAAAATTGGCGCAGTATCCAGCCGCCCACGTCACGCCAACTCGTGGGCATAAAATTGAACTGGAAAGGAGTAGCCAGCCTTGCCATGCCAAGTGATGGGCTTTGGATCAAAGGGATGCCCGAGCACTGAGTCAATGGACGCCAATTATTTGGCTTGGCAGAGTGTGGCTCCCGTCCAAACACGCCTTTAGATCCGGAAAGTGTTAAGTACATTAATTAAGTCACCACAAGTCTAACTAATGCTAATTAGGCCGTGACTATGACACGTGTATGGCATGTCATCCATCTTGCAACCTCAATTTTTCTGCAAATGCCAGCATGAGGAACTGAAGCCCAACAATTTTTCTGTCTATCTTCATTGACCTGTAGGGGCAATTTTCCTTATTTATGGTGTCTTTGGTGGGAGTTTTTTGGTGGCCAATTACATGGCATGCTACGCGTGGTGGTTTGGGCCTCCGTCTTGTTAAGAGTTGTGTTGACTCACTTGATGTACTTGTAAGATCTTGAATTCTGCATCGATCATTTTAGCAATTTCAGGACATGCTTGGTACATTTGTCAACAACTCAGGATATATGAATTGTGATACACTTATCTGAACATATGTGCGGGTGCAAAAAGAAGTGCAGAAGATAGGCTATACATTCAATGCTATAACAACAGCACAATGTTTTTGCTGCTAATTGGTGTCGATCATTTACCACTCGCATTACAAGCCATTGCTACAAGTAGAATTGTAGATATTACAATACATAAATGTGTACAAAAGGAAGCAACCTTGGCAGCAGAAGCAACATGAGCGGATGAAACACAACTGGAGAGACCTCTCCTTATGTTAGCCTGTGAAAGGAGCCTCCACGAAAGACCAAACCCAATAGCCATGGAAGATAATAGAAGGAAAGATCCAGTCAAGCTGCTGGACGAAGCGGTGCTGATAGTTGTTATCGACACAGCCAAAAATCCAGTGAAGGTGACCTTTGTAAGTTCTAGTGATGCTGGCCCAGATTCCTGTTCAACTTCTGTGTTCACCTCCAACACGACTAGGACTAGAAGTTGACCAAAGCTTACAGCTGGTGGCAGTAAGACCAATAGGGCAACCTCAAGAGGCGTGAGCTTACGCATGACAACCAACAATAGTACGAAGATACCAACCGCCATGATGCCGTCTAGGATGAGTGTTAAACACACAATTTGTTGCTCTCTTTCAATCCTTTCTTCAGGGCTACCATGCCTATGTACCGCAAACCATTGAGGTGGTGTCATCTCCAGAAACATTAAGCACACGCCAAATGTGCAGATGATGAAACTAATATAGCCCACTGATTCCCCGCTCGTGTGACCCGTCTGGCCATGACCATCGAGTGCTAGACCTTCGAACCATAGAAACATAATTCCAGTGACACCGATCAGGAACTCATGTGATTCATCTAGCACATTGTGCATATCTATTGTGTATTCCCGCCCATCGTTGTTCCGTGTGTCATACATGTTGTAGCAGACAATTCGAACAAGGACCAAGATTCCACAGATGAGTCCAACGGTGATAAAAATGGATTTGGAGACAATGGATTGTGCAATCAAGCAAGCAAGGACGATAAGGCAACAAGATGAAAGGGTTGCCAGAATCGTTGTTACGGGGGCAAGACTTACGCGCCAGCCAGGGAATCCCTCCGAGAAGAAACACACCAGCAAGGGGCAAATGCTGGTAATCAAAGTAAAGCCTGCCAGGGTGATCATGGCGAAGGGGACACCATGACCATACACCTTGCCATTGAGATCCACTATGTTCAGAGCCAGTGCAAGAAGCACTGGGCATATCATAACCACCACTCCTTCTGCCAAGCCACGGGAACGGTTTAACAGCTCAGCCTAAATCAAATATCAATATCATAACACGACGTCATGGCGAGTAATCAGTAAATACTAAATATATGCTTAGAGTGACATAGATATGGTGGAAATAAAAAAAAGGCTTAAAAATCTTTGATTAGTACTAAAATATAAAATATATTAAAACCATAAATTTATAAAAAAATGGAAATGCTATTAATTTAAAAAACAAGGCAAAATAAAAAAATTAATAGAAAATTGTATTTTTTAAAGAAAACTAGAAACTTCAAGAAGGCCTCAAATAGTACATTGATGATAAATATAGCTTTATTTCACTTAATGTTCACAAATGATTTCTGCAATCTAAACTCGCCTGAGTAGTTTTAAGGATTTGAGATTGTTTATAACTTTATGTTACATGGCTAGATTTTCTGTTCTATTAATATACTAGTTTCCTTCTTTACAATTTCTGGAGTTTTCTTCGGTTTTGTTGTCGACATATTTGAGTTTTTATTTGAATATTTTGACTGGGCTGTATGTGCGTAAAACCCTTGCAGTTCGATATGGTATTAGAGTTTAAGAATCCAAAGCCAGTAGATTATTTGGAACAGTTCGGGGATAAAATACAGGTTTTTCTATGAATAAATGGTACGCGCAAAACGATAGAAGTTATTGAAGCAACAATCTGTATAGCATGGATCGCTTTGTTCATCAAGTTAGCTAGATATCTAAGGCATGTATATACGGGGGACCAACGGGTTATATTTCCTAGATCTTCTCACATAGGACTACAAGAGATGGTATGATGAACAGTGCCATGGCTGCTCGGTCGCATGTTCTTGATCTTGGCCGCTACTTGAGACTTTGAGTTCTCAAACCAGAAAGAAGTGCAGTGGACTGTTGGTGAAGGGATAGAGAGGGATGCGTACCGTACCATCTCAAAACGATGTCCAATGAGCTTTGGCCGGAAGTTGCCAGACAGAACGAAGAGCTTACTACGTGCCCCTGCTCTTCTCTAAGGGCGGAACTGCTTTGGTCTGAAACTCTTAAACTGGAATTGCTAGCAAACCACGTGGAAAGGACATCACAACGAAGCCGACGACTCAAACGAGTCAATGATTAGCATCCAAGTAGCTAGGAATAATGTAAAGTAGAAACTTCCTTGCAGTGACCAGAGATGACTAGGTTAATTGTCATTTTGTTTTGAATTCGAACCTTTGGATGTGTGGAGGTCGCCCTTCCTTGGAATGAAAACGACCAAGGCGCGTGGAACGAAAAGGAACTTTGCGCTACTAGCCATGGCATACCACGCTTTAGCCAAACATGAGCTAGCAATATTAAGCTTTAGCCACATACCTCTTTTCTTTTTTTTAAAGGAGAGACACCGACTACAACATATAGATAGAAAAGGTTGCAGCATCCTATTATTGCAACATTTTTCTTTGCAAATGCCACTACACGATTTGCATACAATATGAAATGGAACTATATTTCGGGAAGTTTTTACCGACCTTGCGGGGCAGATAAGCTCACGAAATTAATTGCTTAAATTGGAAACGAAGTTGGGAACCGACCTCAATTATTTGGGTTTTTTCTGATAACAGAGATATAAGAATTAATTAAGATTGCAACGGGACTCCGAACTTCAGCGCCCAGAAAATTGCTTCACCAAAACCAAGATCCAATTGGGGGGGGGGGTGCTCTCAACCCTTGGAGGCCATGGACTAGAGGCGAAAATCTTCTCCTATCTAGGGAGAAGGCCAAGGAAGAAGAAGAATGAGTGAGGCCTGATAAATCCATTTTGCATCATTATTTTCTACTATAATTTATCCTATTTAATTGATATATTTTACAATATGATGTAACTTTAAGTCTTCTATCTCTTAAAGTGCAAGAAATACAAGGAGAGTAGAATTATCGCACAACTGGAATCTAGACCTAAAAACAACAGAAGAAAACAATTCTTCGGAGCTCAAAATGGAATATATGAAAAATTGTGGAGCAAAGAGCGACCAAAGGGGACCCACAAGGGGCTCACATGCCTTGGTGGTTCGCCCTACACCTAGGGCGCGCCATGTGGCCGTGTGAGGTCTCTGTGGCCGATCTGCCGATGCCCTTTGCATCTAAAATCACTTTTGCCCTAGAAAAAAATCATAGGAAATCCTCGGGACTTTCTACCACCATCTGTGAGGCAGACTTGGGCGGAGCACTTTTGCTCTTTGGTGAACAATTATGTTGGGGAAACTTCCCTCCGGGAGGGGAAAATCAAAGCCATCATCATCACAAACACTCCAATTATCATGGGGATCATCATCCTCATCAAAATCTTCACCATCACCATCTCATCTCCAAACCCTAGTTCTTCTCTAGTCTCCAATGTTTGTATCAAACCCGGGATTGGTACCTGGCAGTACTTATATGTGTTGATTACACCTTGTGCCTGATGCATAGGAGAATTATTAGTGAAAGATTGTTATGTTCAGATTGTTCTTCATATATAAATGCCTACTCATCATGATTAATATGATGAGTTGTGAGTTGTTCCATTAGTTCTTGACGACATGGGAGAAGTCTTGTTGCTAGTAATCATGTGAAGTTGATTCACGTTCAATGTTTTGATATTATGTTGTGTTGTTCTTTCTCTAGTGGTGTTATGTGAATGTTGACTACATGATACTTCATCATCTTTGGACCTATGGGAAGGAATTGTGGAATTAATTTGTAGATGATGGGTGCTGAGAGTGATAGAAACCCAAACCCTTGGTTATGAATTGTTTCGCGAGGGGCTGTTTTGGATCTTATGTTTAATGCTATGGTTAAATTTATCTTAATTATTTCTCTTGTATTTGTTGATGCTTGCATGGAGGGTATAATTATAAGTAGGTGCTTGTTCAAGTAAGAATATTACATTAGCTTCGATTCACCCACACAACACTTATGAAGGCAATGGATGTTAACTCAATGAATCATGGTGAAAGTAACTTGACGAGATTCCCGAGTGTCCTCAAGAACGTTTTAGTCACTATAAGAAACACATCCATCTTGTCCTTAGCATCAATATGGATGGAGCCACTTGCTGCACTATATTACTGTTGTTACTTGTTACTTGTTACCTTGCTACTATTTATGTTGCTACCAGACTATCTAGCAAAACTATCTTTACAACATTTGAAGTGAAATCTCGCTGAAAACTGCTTGTCAATCTCTTTTGCTCCTCGTTGGTTCGACACTCTTACTTATTGGAAGGACTATATTGATCCCCTATACTTGTGGGTCATCAAGAATCTTTTCCGGATTTTGGCAAGAGCAACTTTTACCATACATGTTGTTTTTGTTTTCGTCAGCTACTATGGAAGATAATCCTTTAAGAGGCTTGCTTGGGGGGGGGGTGACCTCTCCACGTGCACAAGTAAATATTTTTTATGAAATACATGTTGGCATGCTTGAGCAAGTAAAGACTAAACTTTATGCAGGAGATGGAACTGTCCATCCTAATATGCACTTGTTGTTTATACAAGAACTTTGTGGTTTGTTTAAGCTTTCATGTTTGTCGGATGGATAAATATGAATACATTAATCCATTTATCTTTGGATGAAAATGCAGTGGCATGGTTTAGGCTATTGGATGATCCGTTCTCATGGGACTGTGGCTGAACTAGAGTTCACTACTACACTATGTGCGATAACGACATCCCAGACAGTGCAAAAACAGATCCATGTGTCCATCAGAAGAAACTTGTGAGATTGGAGGGTCATCGCATATGAAACTATAACGCAAACTATTTGTGATACTTTGCACACAATTATTTTTGGTAAACCTTTTGCGGAAGTGAACTTTAGCACACACAATTTCAGTACGATAAACCGCGTGTTTATACTTACACATGGGTTTGGCTATTCAATGGTCTATGTCAACTGCTCCCATTGCACACATAAAAATTCGGGTGTAACCGTGTGCGTTAAATCCTAGACAGTTAGTATATCAAACTATGTGTCTGGTTTAACCTTTCACACACAGCTGTTGTTTTCTAACTGTTTGCGATATTGTTATTTGGATAAGATCAACCTCGCTGTAATGGCGTGTCGCCAGTCCACCAAAGGAAGGATATGCAAGAGATTCAATCCAAATCCAGACTTGAACCTGAAGACAGGGGAGATGAAAAGTGGTTTCTCAAACTTGCTTGCTACAATTTCTCCAAGGAGATGAAAAATGGCCTGAACTCGTAAATCCGTGTGTCGCACCTTCGCCATAGATAGATTCAACCCTTGTTTGTACCCTAGGTACTCACCGTCAGAGTAATACCCACGACAACTGGCGTCACCAGCTCCAAAAGGAGAAAGGAAATTTTGTTTCAAATTACTTGTTACAAAAGGAACAAGACATGCTTTCCTATATTAATTACAGGGAATAATCGCTGAATTACTGTGGTCGAACGACAATCCATAGTCTTTCTTAATTTTATCTTATTGGAGTAATTAATAAATTATCATGGTTGAGTGATAAGTCATCTTCCTTGATTTAATTTACTTGGAATAACATTATGGTTGGGTAGTACTCTCATCGTCTTTGAAAGAGTGTACTTACAACATTGTTGGGGTCAAACTATCTCAAAGTTTGACCGAGTTTGTGTAAAAATATACTCCCTCCGTTCCTTGATATAGGGTGTATAATTTTTTGTGAAAAAATTCAGATTGTAAGGTGTATTCCTTTAGTTGACTCTTTTACCCCTACAGAAGCTACAACCCACGCATGACCTTCCTAGAAAAAAGGAGAAGGCAAATCCCCATCTCGTATATGATGTGCATGCGTGCTGTAGTTTTGTTAGGAAAAAGAAGATTGCATGCACTAGTGCATATCCCGCCGGGCTTTAGATTTATAGAGAAAAATCTTCTACCGTCCTTTTATTCATTCTTTTGTGTGAACCAATCTGTCTGCCTCTTTTTTTCGCTCACATGGAGAATCAACACGACACGAACTCCTATCCGTCGGC